ACTGTAACAATATGTTCGAATAAACAGACCTGAGGCATGACCTCACCTTAACTCCAAAAAAAAAAAAAAAAAAATTAAAAGCTAATGTTTACTAATATTGATTACTCTCATGTTTTTAGTCTAGGAAATAAATCTGTTGATTTATATAGCATAATAATGCCTTTTAATTCTACAATACAAAGGTTAGTAATAAATTTTGCAATAACTTTTGTGTTAAGTTAATTACTAATCTTGATTACTGTTATGTTTTTAGCTTAGAAAATAAAGCTAATAATTTATATAGTACAACAATGCTTTTTAATTCTACTCAAAGGTTAGTAATAAATTTGGTGACCGCATGTTAATTTCTAACTGGTTATTAATATTTGTAACTAATATATTTGCCTATTAATTGTTGGTGCTTATTAATGCTAATTACTCTCATCTCTTTAGCTCAGAAAATGCAGCTGTTAATTTGTACTGCATAATGATGCCTTTTAATTCTACAATACAAAGTTTTCAGAGATTAATAATAAATTTGGTGGTGTTGCATTAAATTAATTTCTAACTGATTGCTTTATTAATGAGTAATAATATCACGTTGGTTTATTAAATATTAGCCCAGAAAATGATGCAATTGATTTGACATTAGAGGTTGATGAATCTCAATTTTTTAACTCAGAAAATGAGAAAGAAAATAAGACAAAGTGAGTAAAATTTTCAGGTTGCATATTTTATTCACATGGTATGTAATGATAAATAATATTAGCAGTTCTCAAGATGATCTTAATGGTAAAAAGTTATAGTTGCAATTATATATTGATCTTACATTTGATACATAGGAAAAAGTAGACAAATTATTAGAATCATATAGAAACTTCAAAGGCTTTTCTTTTTGGTGAAGTAGGACTGACTTTCACTCAGACAATTCAGGCATTCATTGTTATAGTTATGAATGTTCCAAATTATATATACATAAGGCTAAAAAAATAGTTGATATTACTAAGCAGTGTAAATACCATTCTACTGCAATAGATTGTGAGTGGCATGTAAATTTCAACAATTGTAAGAATACTACTAAGATCACTTGTACATCATTTGTTGACAAACATAACCATGAAATGGATCCTATTATTGATTAAACAGTACTATGCTTTTGCAGATTGTCAGAAGAAATACTTGAAGATATAAAGTTTTATACTTGTTATACTGTAGGCATAGGTGCTAAAATGCAATATAATATTCTACTAGTGAAACATTCTGATAAGTATATTAATAAAAAGGATATATATAATGCTGTTTAACAGTTCAAATTATCATCTCTTAAGAAAATAAAGAATAATACTATGGAAACTTTGCATCATTTATTAGCTTTAAAAACAGAGAATCCTTAATAGATAGTAGTACCTAAAATTGATGAAGGAAACAGGTTAACTGCACTTTTTTGGATGTCTCCTTTACAAGTGTTGCTATGGTCTTAATTTTGTGACATCGTAATAACTAACAATACCTGCAAAACAAACCAATATGAAATAGCTTTGTGCTTGTTTTTAATTGTTGACAATGATACTCATTCATGTATTATAGTACAAGCAATTTTAGAAGATAAGACCCAGGCTTCTTATAAATAAGTACTAAAACAAATAAATGCTGCAACAAATAGCATTATTCCTAAAACTATTTACTCAGATGCAGACCTGGCCATGAGTGCAGCATTGAGAAATCTATGGTCAGATATTCATTATTCACAATGTATTTTTCATATGAACAACAATTTTATTAAAAAACTTAAGCTGATTATGAGTACTAATTTTAATAAATGTCATAGGCTTTTTTATCATTCTTATAATAGTTTATTTGAAGTTAATTTTAAGCATTATTAGGCAGAATTTATTGCATTTCTTGAACCATTTCCTAAAGCTTTTCATTATGCACTTGAAACACTTTATCCTACATGTTATAACTGAACTATATGTTATATACAAACACATTTCACAGCTAGTATCCAAAGTATATAGCAAATAGAGAGTATTAATAGAATTATTAAAAAGAAAGTTTCACATAGCACAACATTACTACATTTGGTTGATACAATACAAAATCATCTAAATGAGGAAGTGCATTATGCATGAATAAATGAACAAAAGAATATGAATCCTACTATTTGATTACCTCATGTGGCAAGTCATTATTTTTTAGCCATTGATTTCTTACTCCAAGAGTACTTAACTCCACATGTTCTTTTACTTCAAAAGCAGCAACTTTCTGAAAGCTTTCTTTATAATGCTGCTGAACTTTCTATTAAGTAAAACAATTTTTTTTCAGAATCTGAAAATATTATAGATAATGGATATCATGAAGATGATTATGAGCAGCTCTAGATAGGTCTCAAATCCTTATTGTAGAACTTAAAAAGAGAAAATATTGAACAGATCTGGTATATAACTCGACAGAGAATTTTTTTAAATTATTTCAGTAATCACGTCATAATACTTGCAGATGGCATGCACTTATGTACTTGTCTTATCTTGATCACTAAAGGGATTGTTTGTTATCATTTCTTTAAAGTTTTGACAAAATTTCATCTTACTAGATTTTATATTTCTCTTATTTCAAGTTGATGATATAAAAGTAATAAGATAAATAATGATGAAGATCTTATTGCAACACTTCAACCTATTAGACTATGTGGTAAAACTAATTAACCATTATTATTTAATAATGTTAGCAATGTAATTAATTTTGGATATTTGTCTCAATTTCATGCTTCTAATATATTTACTTCTGCCTTAAAAAAATTAATTAGTGAAAAGACACATTAGGCTAAAGAATATAGAATGTCTAAAAAAGCATTAATTTAGTGATTTTTTTTTTCGGTATTAAGGTGACCTCTTTGGTCTTTTAACTTTATTAACATATTTTTAGGAATGTAGTTCTGTAAGGAGCTACTATAGGAAGAGCGTACAATTGGCCACTCATGTAACTTTCTATATTACCTATTTAAGGAGTCCGCCTAATGTTTCCCACCAATTGCCGTACCTAACACCCCTGCTTGGATGTTTTATTTAAACCCTCTGAACCTGTCCCATATTACTTCATCAGGTCAAGCCTAGATCCTTCGTCTCAACCTTAGGACAGTTATCCTCGAGGTAAACCTTCTGGAGCCTGCTGTTTACCCATTTTTGCAGCTGACCCAGATATCACTATAGCAGAACCAACACTTGCAGTCAGGGCTAACCGTTAAACTGCTATGCCTTTGTAGAGTTCACACAGACCCCAGTATCTACTTCACAGCATATCTCTAGTACTTTAGTATACTTCTGCTTCTTTTACCAAACTCCCAATCCAGATAGCCCATATAGGACTACAACTAGTCCATTGATATATTAGGTTGGCCTGATATCCTTTTCCTCCGGTCTGATCTGGTAGCCTGGTTGGTGGTACCTCCGAGACTTCCAACTCAGAGGTTCTTGCCCATTCGGCTACTTCAGCATTGGTATCCATTTCTTAGATCTAGCCTTTACAGTGGTACTGTCGAAGATCCGTATTACCTCTCTACTCGGGTCTTCCCAAATGGACTTCTTGTTCCCCAATTTCTACAGATTTACACAGCTACCAGGACTTATCTTGAGTTTGCACCGCCTGATTTGTCGGTTTGCATTCCTCTGTGTAACAAGTTACACAGATGCCTCATGACCTGCCAGTCATGCTGGTGTGACCATAATTACAGGTATCTTAACCCAATTGTTAGAAACAGTTGCTGTAATACCAGATTACATAGGTGATTATCCAAATTTTTGCTGTTGATGGGATTTGAACACCCAACCTACCACTTGGGGGGTTGACAACCTGACCATTTCACTAGGTCACCACACCCCACCAATTTTTCTTGTATTTAACTATTGCTTCAATATGTTTACTTTATTTAAAAACAACTTTATTATGCTTGTTATTATAAAAACTTCTTTTTATTTTAATAACAAATTAATTAAATATTGATAAAAAATGTGTTATTCTTACAATACATTCTATTTAGGCATTCTTAATTATTATTTCTAATTTGTTTACTTTTAAATATAAAATTGTCTAATCAACTTATTACTGATCTGTTATTTATTAAACTATATATTTAATTTTATTTTTATAATTAAACTTTACTTAAACCTATTAATAAAAATCTTTTTAATAATTTTTAGCAACAATATATTTCTATTTTTTTACATCAATTCAACTTAATATTATTTTCTTAACTTTTCTATTACTAATAAAGAACTTTTTTAAGCTTTCTTAAAACTATTTAATAACAAAACCTATAGTTTTATAGGCATTAGCTATAAAATACTTAAGCATATTAGTTCCTAATGCACTTTTGCTATTATTATTCATTATAACTATTGTCTTTTTGAAAATAAATTTTTAAATAATAAAATTTATTCTATCTTTAAATAAAATATCTTTGATAATAATCTTAATTTTATATAATTTATTAGTCTAATTAAATATATTTGTAAACTTTATATTAAATTTCTTATAAATTGGTTTAGTTTTTAAATTTTATCTTTTTATCTTTTAATTATATTGCTTTTTTAATAATAAACTTTAATTTCAATTCATATTCTTAGCAATTTTATTAAAAATGCTATTTACAATTATAAAAACATTTGAATATGCTTATAAGATATAAGCAAATTATATAATTTTGTTAACTTTATTCTTTTTAAATATTCATATTCTTATTTTGCATTTCTTTTATCTATTATTAACATTCTTTCTAATTATCTTATTAATTATCACAACCAAGTTATTACCAATTTTAATTTTATAAGTTTATAATAATATTAACTAAATTAAGCAATTATTTTTTTATTATCTCTTAATCTGTATTCTAGACAAATTTGCCTAAAAAATTTAAAATATTTAATAAATTTTTTGTAACAATAAATCATACTAATTAAAAGCCCTTCTAATGCATTATTTTTTATAATTGGAAGAACCTGTACTATCATTTGATAATAAATTTTCTAGGCAAATTTGTTTGAAATACAATACAGGACAATTTAAAAAGTTAATGAATGCATATGATCAATAGACCTAAATTAGCATTATTGTAATATTTTGTCCTTTTGCATACTGTTTTTCTTTTAAAGTAGATACATGTGCATCAATAAGACCTAAATTCACATTATCATAGGATCTTATCTTTATTTTTTCTTTATTATAAAATTATGTGTATATATGTATATATTTAGATTTTAACTCTTCTTTTGTTCTTTATTTCATGTGAAATGATACTTAAATATTTAGATGTATTTAAAGCTTTTTAAAATTAAAATGACTGAATTTATTACTTTTTTAAATATAAAGAAATCAAAGTAAGTAGTTGTGAAATTGCTGTATATGCCTTGAGGTTAATGACTATTACTTTATTTATACTTTTTTTTTTGCTTTTCTTTTTATATAATAAGTCTATGATTGAGACAAAATGCAGTGTCTTGTATTTATCACTTATTTCATCATAAAAATAAACCAACTTAATAATTTAACAATTTTGTCTTGCTAAACAATCTATATTACAGTCTTATTATATTTTGAATCTGCTATCACATTTTTATTTATTAAAAATGTTTTGTTTTCATTTTGGCACCATTATAATTTTTTCTTAATTTTTTTTTTCGATTAAAAAAAAATTAATAATAAATAAAATTTGTTAAATTTGCATTAGCACTTTTCTGTCATTTAAAAATAAATAAATAAATAAAATTTGTTAAATTTGCATCAGCACTTTTCTGTCATTTAATAAATAAAAACCATTATTATGTCTCTTAACAATACAACTTTTGATGAAGATCCTGATTACTATCTAATTACTTTTGAACATAATAACTATAAAGAGTTAATAATCAACTATGAACTAGTAAAATTTTCTGATAATGTAATAAATGAAGATGAACAAGAATGCATAGAAATATCTAGTGAATCTGGTGAATATACGAATAGAGGAGTGAGCATTAGAAGTAGTAGAAAGAAAGGTAGAAGTAGAGATAAAGGTAGAGGTAGGGGTAGGGATAGGAGCATAAAAAAAGGTAAAGAAAGAGAGATTAGTAAAAATAATAAACAAAATAGCTATTTGAATTCAGAATTACTATCATTAGAATTACCCACCTTTAACCCTATTCAAAATTATCATCCACTTTATAAAGGATTTGTAATACTTCCTCATAAATTTCAACTAGGTATCATATCTCAGCTTTCACATTTTTAATTATTTTTTATTGATGAACAGTTACATTTAATGATCAAAAATACTAATATGTATGAGCAAATAAAAGATAAAGAAGACAGTCAGGTTTGGAGTCTGTTAACTTTAAATAAATTGAAAATTTAAATTGAACTAATAATCTATATGGATGTTTATTATATTAATGCAATAAAAGATTTATGAAATCAAAATGATAATAAAGCAACATATGAGATTAAAAGGTTTATATTTTTATATAGATTTCAACAAATTAAAAGATTTTTCTATATGTTAATACCAAGTCAACTCTATTCATATTGGTACTTGAAAGTCAAACCATTTGCAACATATATCCAAAGTGCAATTAAAAAATATTATATTCCTAGCTTGCAAGTATCTATTAATAAAATGATCATATGTTTTTCTGGATGAAGTGTCTATACAGTAAGAGTAAAAAAACAAGCTGACACTAGCAGGATATAAGATCATTTTTTATGTAATTATGGTTATACATTTGCATTTGTGTTTACTTCATGAGTTGAAAAAAATAACACAATAGAACCAATTTCAGGTCTTAATAATATTGAATCTTTGGTCACACATTTAGCTCATATGCTTTTTAATAATAAAATGTATCACATATATATAGATAATTATTTTTCTAGCATTCCTCTTTTTAAATATTTATATGAAAATAGTGTTGGTTTCTGTAGTATTGTTCATATAGATTTAGCAAGTTTTTCTAAGAAATTAAAGTTAGGTAAAGAAATATTATTAGATTGAAACATGCTTTTTGAAAAAGTAGTTAATAATGTTTTAGCCATTTTTTGAATAAATAATGGCTCTGTAATTATGCTAATCATAATTCATAAAATTGTCAGTGAAACTTGAAAAGTTATTCGTAACAGGCATCAACTCTATGAAACAAGTTTCAATGCAAATACTGTATGTTGAGTTTTTGAAAATAAATACCAAAAAGAATTAGAGATACTACAAATAATTGATGACTACAATTATTACATGGGTGGAGTCAATATTACCAACCAGCTTCATGGATATTACAACTGTCAATTGACAGTTAGACACATATGGATCCTTTTATTTTTTTGGATTTTAGACACTGTTCTTGTTAATTGTATAATTCTTTATCACAAAGTAACTAATTTGAACATCTTAGGTAAAGATTTTAGAATTAATTTGGTATAGGATCTGATCTGAAAAACTTTAGATAATGAAAAAAAAAAGAACCTTAAGAACCTTAAGATATTTAAATTTTATTAAAAAGAAAACAAATTGTCATAAAAGAAAATTTTAAACTGCTCTTAACTCACCTGCTAAAGGATAACCATCTTGTTAAATAAAGAAAAAAAAGAGAAGCATGTGTTTATTGCTAATATTTGGCACAATGTGATGAAATAAATATTGATTGTGATAATTCTTCACAAACTTAGCTTTGGTGCATTAAGTGTAAAGTACCACTATGTTGCTCTAAAGCAAGGCCAAATTGTTTTAAAAATTTTTATTTAAAAGATAATAAAGATTAGTTTTATGATTTTATAAAATCAATCAGTATTTTTAAATCATGCATACTTAACAATTATATAATTTGTATATTTTACATTTGACATTACTTCTATTTACAAATTAATATGTTTATCTTATTAAATATATATTATTTATAAGAAAATTACAAGCAAGTTAAGTCAATTAACATCTTTATTCAGACCCAAGGTTATTTAAATATATGCAAAGTTTATTTTGTTACATTATTACCATTATTATTTTATGAAGTTTATTCAAAATACAAAATTTTAAGCAAAGATTTGATCTAACAGAAGGAATTGTACCTGATCCAAAGTGAATTCCACACATAGTATAATTAATTGAAACTAAAATAAATAAGTTTAGTTTTAATTAGTCACACTGTATATAGAATTCACTTTGGATCAGATACATTCCCTCATGTTATTTGATAATTAGATCAACTGTAATTGATATTTAATGCTGACCCAAACAATTTTTCATACAACTAGATGTGCAAAATAAAATACTGTTTGTTTTGGTTTAAAGTTTTTTGTGTTAAATTTTTTTTTACATTAATTTCATTATCATCTATATAATAGCAACACAATTTTGTTAATCTTACTGTTACAGGAATAAAACCCCTAAGTGATTACTGCTATATAACTTTAAACTTTTCAGACAAATTTGCCTGAAATACAGTTCAGAACAATTTTTAAATATTATAAATGCAATTAAAAAAAAATATTAAAAAAAAATTAGTTTTAAAATATTTCTTATTTGTTATAAATTTTTCAGGCAAATTTGCCTGAAAATGATCTACAGATTAAAAGATAATGTATGTATTATAATTTTTTTTTTTTTTGAACTTAAGCAGCCATGCTAGTATTTTATTAAGATTTTTGAAATTACATTAGCAATTACATAAAATGTTCCTAATAACTAAGTCTAGCATCATCTGGCCACCCAAATAGTATCTAAGTGCAATCTGTTGTGCTACTCTAAATATGTTGAAATAGGTTGCTTACCTAACTACTTAAAGATCAAAAAGATAGAAGAAGCTTCTTCCTTCTATAACAAGCTCTAATAATGTCTTCTTAGCTTCTTTTCTGATCTGTAAATCCTTCTTTTTTCAAGCTTACTGTTTGATTTTGCTTTTAGTGTCTTGTGTATTATATAAGATTACTTTAGTTAATTTAGTTGATACTGTTTTATGATGTTTGTTTAGTATTTTTTCTTTAGTGTTGTTGTATTTATTTTGGTATAACTTAATCATTATCATTTGGATAGAATGTCCCATGTTGGTTCTAGAAGTGGTAATAGTTGTAAGATGTAGTCTGAAATTTTTAGAATTTCAAAGTATTGTCTAAGTATTGTTAATGTAGATGTAATGTCTGCTTGTTGTGTAATTGGTAAACTGATATATATTTCATCTGTTTTGTTTTTAAGCATTTCTTGTAGTTGAGATAATGTTGATGGAATTGTTGATTTGTTTATTGCATTAAATTAGGCTTTTGTTTCTTGCTCTTTATTTGATATTTCAATCCAGTATGCTGGTATTTGATCAAAGTAATAGTGTTCGCGAAGTAATCTAGCTGTATCTACTAGTATTCTAGAAGATGTAATTGGTATAGTGATATTGTATTCTGTGATTTTTGTACTATCATTTGGAAGTCTTGGTTTGTTTGTTGAATTGGTGATCATTACTTTTTTGCTTATAGGAAACTGTATTTTGTATTTTACTTTTGCCTAATTTAGAAATTCTTTTGCTATGTTATCATCAGTTATAGGATAGTTAAATTGTATTTTGAGTTTTATATTTTGTGTATCTTTTGGTAGCAATAGCTTTTGTATAAAAAAGTCATTTGGTAGCAGTTTAAATCTATAGTGTTCTCTTAGTAAGTCTATTATTTTTTAAATATCTGTATTTTCTTTTGATATGTCTACTGAAAATAGATGTTTAACTCTGCTATTTAGTTTGTAATATGTAGTTGGTAATGGCTCTTTGCTTGGTAGCAGGTTGAAGTATGCAGCTGGAATTTTGTCAAACTTGTAATGATCAATTAGCTTTGCATGATAGTATCTTAGTTGTCAAAGTTGCTTAGGATCTGTTATTAGAAAAAGAGATTTTGTTCTTCTTTGAGTTCTTGTAGATTGTTGGGCAGTTTAGGTAGTGATATAAAGTATGATTCTGGTAAAATTGTGAAATAGAACAGAGTACATAATAAGCTTACTATAGCTTGAGTTTGTAATCTTTTAGTAATTGGTAGTTCAAAGGATATAATTGGTATAGTTTCAATATTAATTTTTGATGGTTTGCTGGGCAAGAGATGTCATAGTATGCTGTATACCTGATTAATTTTATTTTGCAGTTTTTTTATATCTTCAATTGGCTGTGCTCAGATAAAGTTGCAACAGTATTTAACTATTTTATAGATATCATTTGGTTTGCTATATCTAAAATTGAGGTTGGTTAAATATTCTATTATAAGTTTTTGCCTTAGTATTTGTTGAATAGTATCTCGAGTTTGTTTGTTTGTTAGTGTAATTTCTTTTTTTTTTGTACTTTTTAACAGCTTCTCTAAATAGATTTGTGAATTCAACATGATAAGCAGATATAGTTTGTCTGTTTGTTGTAAATGATATGAAAAAGGCTAAATCTAGATGTTTAAATTTAAGATATATAGCTATTGGAATTTGGTGTTTTGTTGGTTGTATTTTTAATTTGTATTTTGTAAAGTTTTTTATTTCTGTGGTGCTATTTAATATTGTAATTATCTTGTCTAAAGACCAGATTGTTGTATTGAATTTTTTAGTAATTTGCAGATCTAGCTGTTGTGTTATATATCTAGTCCAACTTTGTATTTGTATTGCAATTGCATTATTTTCAACATCTATTAGATTTTCTATATTTTGTTTTAGTGCATAACTATAGGACTTGTATTGATTTGTATTGCTGTTCTTGTTTGTGTTGTGATCTTTAGATATAGGCCTACTACCGATACTATCTACATGCATCTGTTTTTCTATATTTTCTATATTTAGATTTCTGTTATCTACTGTTATGTTATCTGTGTTGTTGTTATTGTTTCCGATTATGGCTTTAGATAGTTAGTTATATATAACATATGATGTCATTGTGTATTTTGTTGAGGGTAAGCTGTTTTGCCCACTTTTTGAACTTTTTGTCTAGTGTTTAGAAGAGTATAAAGGATTAAAACCTCTTTTTTTGTTTGAATATATATTGTTTTTATTTTATTGTTGTTCTGCTTTATCTTATAAGCATCTATATCTTGTTTATTGCTTCTTGATGCATATACAGATGTATATTCTATTTCTTGTTCTTGGAACAAGTTGACTTTTACCAAGTCCTCAAAGGACTGGTTTTTAATTTTGCTAGCTTTAACATTTGTTTTGTTAGTTAGTATAGTGATTGATGTTGTTATAAGAGTTTGTTTTTTGTGTTTGTGATTGTTTTCTTGTATATTATTCAGTTTATTTAA